AGCAGTTAACCCAACAATGAATTATGGGTTAACCAATGGGTTGTTTAACCCCTAAACAACCCAGTGATCCACACTGCAGGCAACATGCCCACTCCTATCCATTTATGACAACAATTTGGGGGTTTATAGTTGGCATTACATGAAAACTAGGGCAGTGACTGGCCCAATATTACCCAGTAGACTTTATGGCTGTGTGAGATTTCAACTTTGGACTCCCTTATCTTAGTATGAACTTTAACTCAAGGGTTTGCAACTTGTGGCCCTCCAAATGTTTTGGCCTACTGTTCCCATGATCCTTCATCACTGGCTATGTTGGTTAAGGCTAATGAGAGCTGAAGGGTAATATCATTAGAAAATCCACAAAATACCTACTCTTCCTCTGTAACACCATACCAGAAAAGGTAATAAACTCACATTTTTACTCATCCCCTATTATGAAAAGCAAACAGTAATAAACACAGGCTTACTTTATGTTATCTTCACAGAAACCTTGTGAACTCAGTTAAGCTGAAAATATGTGGCTATTCAAGGTCACTTGGTGAATTTTATGGCAAAGTGAGAATCTGAACCAGGTTCTTGGTCCAACAGTATTAACCATAAAATTCACAGTTCTATCAACAGTGTTACGCACAGCCACGCACACACACACACACAGAATTTTTTTCCATATCAAAGTTTAAGTTTAGAATTAATTTTCTTTTGGAAGTAAGGGTTATTTTATTAGATATATATCAAGGCATGTCTGAACAGTAGAAAAGAGGCACATTTATTTCATACATTTATATACCACATCCCCACAAAGCACTAAACATAACAGCATCTATAAAGTATCTATTTCATTCATGTATGTACCATTTCCAAAGTGGAAAACATAACATGTATACTAATCAGTAATTAGCAGTCCATCTGTAACTGCAACCTGCTGCGTCACATCTCAGAGAAGCCCTTCTGAAAAGAAAGGTCTTAGGGAAGCATTTAAAGTCAAAACTGTTGTCACCTGTCTGATGTTGACAGGGAGAATTTTCCTGAGGGGGAGGGGCTGCAAATACTAAAAGCTCTATTATTAGTGTTCTTAAGGCAAATCTCAGGACCATACGGCACCATTAAAAGTGCTCCTTCTGAGAAGTGCAAAACTCAGACAGGGACTTGGAGATGAAGTGATCCCTAGGGTGACTCGGTCTCAAGTTGTTCAGTGCTTTATATGTCAACAACAAACCCTTAAACTTGGTCTGGTTGCTTACTGGCAGCCAGGGCAGTTAAAGTAGCAAAGGTGCAATATGCTGTCAAGGGGAGATGTCTGTTCATAGCCTCACTGCTGCATTCTGCCCTAGCTTGAACATCTAGGCCAAGGCCAAGCGTAGCCCCACATACAACACACTGCAATCACCCAGCCTTGATATTACTCATGTCTGACCCACTATGGCCAAACAATTAGAGTGAAGGCAGGGCCATGGCTTCCATACCAGCCCGAGCTGGTTCATGATGCTCCCAACCACTACAGAGGAAACTCTTCCCAGGAACAACACTGCTGGGGTTTTAATGCCAAAGGTTAAGACCAGGGGTCCTCAAACTTTTTGAATAGGGAGCCAGTTGAAAGCTGAGGTGACCATTATGGGCCGGAGAGGTGGGGGTGCCTGGGGGCGCGGGCCAGTGAGGCGGCATCGGGCGCACGTAGCAGTGGCTCGCTCACTTGGAGATCTCCCAGCGAGTCCAAAACCATCTCCAAGCGAGCAAGCCACCATCTCCCCGCTCGCGCTGCAAGCAGCGAGCGCACGCGTACGGGGGGCAGGTGGCGGCGAACGGTGGCACAGGCCAGATAGATGGCCATGGTGGGCCACATCCGTCTTGCGGGCCGTAGTCTGAGGACCCATGTTAAGACTCTGGGTTGCTTTCAAATACTGTACGTGCTACAAATGCATTCAGTTAAATTATGAAACCTTTGCTTCATCTCAGTATGTACTCAAATAATGTCTTAT